ATTATATATATATGTATGATATATATGTACTATATATATTTGTTATAATAAACTTCTACATTTTTTTATCTTTACTTTTTTACGCTTTATTTTCTTTTCCTCATTCCTCTGCAGAAAATATTGGAATGTAATATGCTTATATATTTCCAATAAAATTAATTTTTACAAAGCTGCTTAATTACACTACGCTATTAATCGTATTTTATCCAATAAAAGACAATTTTTTCTATAATAGTTTTTTTATAAAAACATTATTTATATTAATATCGAAAAAATTTCATGGAAATTATTTTAATACGTAAAATTTAAGTAATGATCATGTTATTAAAATAATTTAATCAATATACATCGCGAGAATTGTTCGGGAAAATAAAATCCGATAAAAGAGATGGCTCATTCAATCGAAATTAAGAAGAGTTAATTGCAAATCTAATTAACTCTAATCTTCAAAATATCATATCCTCGATATTCTACAGAATAATAATGACAGATATTGAATGGAAACAGTTAATAAATGCGAATATAGAGAGGAGGATAGTTCGATGGGGAATTCGAGATAGCGGGTTGCAACAGTTTGTAAAACGTCATACGAGAGACTCGCTCAAATTTTATTGCAGGCAATCGATTGTTTCGATATATGTATAATGAAGATAACGGGATCTCGTTATATATTCGCGGCGAAATCACAGTACGTGTGTGTGTGTGTGTGTGTGTGTGTGTGTGTGTGTGTGTGTGTGTGTGTGTGTGTGTGTGTGCGCGTGCGTGCGTGCGTGCGTGCGTGCGTGCGTGTGCGTGTGTGTGTGTGTGTGTGTGTGTGTGTGTGTGTGTAATCATATATTTATATTTAGATAATAATTTATTATTTACAAGATAGTAATGTGTAATCATGTCGACGATAACACTAACATAATCACAGCCAGTTCATCTCATGTAACATTGATAAACAAGTAGATATATGAGTATACGATTAACTGTTCGGGAAAACATTACTTTTCTCGCATATGACATTACGCTCTATATTGTTACATGCTTGAATGTATATATTACGCGCGATTATAATTTATTTCGGCATTAATATTTTTAGATCGCGCCTTACTGCAATTTTCTTAACCCTTTGAAGACCTCTTAAGAAGCTTTCTAAAAAAGAAACTTAAAAAAGAAAATCTTGTTATTTTGAGGAAATTATTTTTAAGATTGTATTGAATCAATTCTAACTTTAGGATCCTAAAATTCAAATTTCAAGAAATAATTTTATTATCATAAAGCTCGGTTTTAGGAGGGGTTCTTGAATTTAAATACAGCCCGAAAAGGTCGAATTTCAAAAAGTACTTTCTAAATCTGAATCAATAGATAGTCACTAATTACCCAATGGCATACTTGGCACTGATGAATCAATCAAAATAGTGAAGTTCAAAAAAGAAAGAATGTTTGAGCATTAATAACTGAAATACTTATATTTGCATATCAGTTAATTTCAATCTTCCAATACTATATTCATCGAATTTAAGCTAAAACAAGGTTAGTTAGATCACATAATAAAGATTAGTTAGATTAAGGATCTCACATTTAATTCACTGATTACCAACGATATACTTGATACTAATATCAATGATTATCCACTGATTCAGATTTAGAAAGTAATCTTTAATAATCTAACGTCACAGGGCTTATAATTAAAATTTAGAAGTTAATTTGGAAATCAGTACAATGATTTGCGCAATAATGATGAATTTCAAATAAAGCAAAACTGGAAACTTGATGTTACTTCGCAATAAAAAAATATAATCTAAAATTGAATGTTATAATAAATCAGATTATTTAAAAAATTTTTTATTTTTGACCTCAGATTTAAATAAAGCGTTATCAAAAAAATGATTCATTAGATAAAATTTCTTAAAAATCAAACAAGCAATTTATAAAATAAAAAGAGATGATCTCAAAGATCCACAAAGGGTTAATGGCTCTTCAAAATATCAACACATTTTAAAAGCGACGATAGAAAGATATATATCCAAATTAAATAGAAGCCGTCGGTTAGATTGCTTCACGGAAAAAAACAACCGGAAACATGATAATTTTCGTTCATCAATACATTTAATTGTAATACCCTAAGGACATATCTTAATAGCCATAGCCATTAAGATATGCCAACTTATGGTTATCACACTAATACTTATTATTAATCAATGTATTGATGGACGATCTTTGATCGTGATAACCGTAGACGTTTTTTCCATGTTAGATATCAATTTCGTAAAGCGAGTCACGATCAATATCCGAAGCACCTTATCTCCGTCTAATTGTTTATCAGAAAATTTTGACGAGCTTAAGTTTAATCGAGCTGTTAATTCAAGTTGTATAATGACGATAATTTATGTTACCGTTCGATAGTGTCGATGTTGTTGGCTATGATAAATTGAAGCGGAGAGAAACAACACAGTCGAAAATTGATGAACGTCTCCAAATCTGTATGCACACGAGCTCTCTTAACAAACACTGCACATCGTGATTAAAGACGCTACGCTACGCTATAAATATTTCGCAAGTCTTACAGCTTCGTAAATAGAAACGCGATTATCTTTGCGTTATGATTACACTATAAAAGATCTCTTCTTTTGCACACTTATCGGAAAACATGGCAGGACTTTAGCTTAACGCGAAGAAATTCAATTTGGACTCTTATGTAATTCCGTTACCTTCTTGTTCTACAATTAATTGATAACGTCAAAAGATGATTCGGGATTTATGATGTTACTTCTACAACAGCGAATTAGTTTGTACGAAGAGTTTACAGTTTCGCAGCTCGAGATCAGTCGCACGTTGTTAAACTTTGTTTTATTAACGATCAATACATTTATCTTGCCATTAATAAAATTTTCGTTATATCATAACACGTTCATGTTAGTAATATGATCGCTTTATTTTATACATCTTCTTACACATCTTGTACACGCTAAATATGAATAATAGAAAGAATGAAGGTATCCCAGTGTCCTCAACGTTATGATGTATAACTTTAACTCGAAATCGCGGTTTTTACCACGCGAATCAACAATAGCCTCTTGTGTTTATTTAAATAAATTACTTCTCATAATCTACAATAATCGTTTGCCATTGCTGGACAGACTTACATGCACTGTCAATGTATATTCGCTTCAGCCTCATACATTGTTATAGCAGAAATTTTTTTCATTTTTATTATACACACATTTTACACTTTCATAGTTTATCTTGTTCGCTCATATACCGAGATTGATATAACGAAAAATGATTAAGAATCGTGTTATTAAATATTACATGTACAACCCTAGCCTATTGGCTGGGTTGTAGTCGGCAATTTTAAACGTCTTACCTGCCCGTAGAAAAAGTGATGTTCATCAATGTTCGTAATATCAAATTTATCAAAGTATTAGACGAAGAGTCACCTTCCTTCTAAGGTTCTATTGCATACTTCGTGCAATGAATCCTCGAGATCCTAAAGATTCTAATGGCAGCAAATACCAAGTTCGATGAGCCATCGATCTTTGGTGTTTCTTCCTACTAATTCACTGAGCGTAAAGCTCGCCTAAGTTTCTTCACAAATGGCTCAGTGTATCGATCATGATCTTCCTCTGAAGTTAGACATGAAAATTTTCGCACAAATTGCCTGAAGTCACGATCGCGTATTGTTTTGGCGTAATGCTTTTTATCTAACATATGATGAGATTGGATTGCACAAGTTTCACGTGAGATCTGAGGGATGAGGAGTGAGAAAGTCCATTGGCAGTTACGCGATCGATCGCACGGATCCTGTGAGTTTGCATGGGCCTACTCGAACACGCTCTCGGCGGCCTCCCGGATCTTCACGATCAGGAAGGACCGTCTGCAGAGCTTGACGAGCATCTCGATCCTCTGTCAGGACGGCTTCCTGAGCTGTGGCAGGGCGATCAAGTAGACATTGCCGAGGATGGCACCAACGATCAGCAGCATCACGCTCACGGCCGACAGGAGCCGCACATATCGTACAAATCTACGGCCCCGGGCATCTTTCTTGCTTTGGTTTGGGAACACGGCTAGACCCAGAAGCGGACCCGCTAGCGCACCCGCGACGTGTGCCGCCCAACCGACTCGGCCACATCCAAGCAACGCCGGAATGGGCAGCGATGCGACGTCTGCACCGGCCAGCAACAACACGGCCCCGAGACGCCAGCCGGCGTAGCGTAACTCGCCGTGACACTGCAACGAACGAGAGAAACAAAATGCACGGAGATGCTACGCAATCGTTTTTTCCTCCATGAAGAATCAAGATACAAATAAAAATAAGACTCAATTACATGTTAAATCACATAACAATCTACACTCTAAAAAATATAATGTGTGGATTTAGCATCATGTGGAATTTATATATTTCTCACTTGGTGTTGATATAAACCAACATGGTGTTAGATTTAACATTTTAAAATTTATATCATATGGTGTTGATTTAAAACCTCTGATGTTAAATGGTATTTATATGAACACGAAAATTATATAAACATTGCATGATATTACATTCACATCTATATTTTTTAAAGCGTAATTTATGAATTTAACGTTACTTACGAAGTTTATTGAATCAATACAAAATTGGATTAAACCTAATATAACTTTCAAGAAGTTAATATAATTTTTAAAAAATGCATACATTTGATCATACAAAGATAATATGATAAATAGATACGATAAATAAATCTGTGTTTGCTTCTCGAGGATTTTTTATTACTGGTATTTCCCATAAAAAGAGTTCGTTAATCACTAAATAAGATGTTTACTAAGAGTATTTTGAGCGAAAACATTCCTGCGCGAATCGACAACACATTTTAGTACAGCATCTTTTATAGTCCTTCTTTGTTTCCTTTGCTCCTTTTTGATACTGCGACAAGCAATATTGCGCAGACTTTCAAGGAGCGAAGGATCGGTTGAGGGTCAGTTTACATCGTATAAGCTCCGTTTTTTAGAAATTGAGAAACTTTTTCTCTTGCTTACCAGGTAGAGATGAGCAAGATGACTCGTGAGTAGCGCGTAAACACCTGCCGAAGCGCCAACCAGGTAAAGACTTGGTTGCAGAAGCGACGCTCCTAGAGCACCGCAGACTCCGCCGCCCAGATAGATAGTCGCCACTCCTATTCGTCCTTGCTCCACCTACAATTACAAGTTTCCTTCGTTTCTATCTGCAATTCCGTACGCAGAATTATAATCTTTGTAATCTATTCCTCATAAAACTTGATATATTGGATAATAAATCGGAATCCTAATATTAGAATAAAGAGATCCAATTTGAAAATTTTTTTATTTAAGCATAGCAATCTACTATGCAATATATTGTGTAAAAAGATAAAAAATAATATACGTTATTTATAAATCAAAATCTCATACAACATATTTAAAAAAATATAAACAGAGTAAGAACTCCCAGTATTCAAGAAAATGTGTAAAATAAGGAATATTGGGAATCAACATGGTAATTAATGCAAATCTTTCCATTATAACAAATTTAATGTACATCGTTCGCAAACAAAAGTATAGATTGAGAGACGTATGCATTTCGATTTACTTTAAAGTTGGAAGGATGTGAACAATATAAAATTGATTTCATATATTTAATTGTGCAATAATTTGACTCCCAAATATATTCTTTATTTTATTTTTTTATTAATTTGAAAAAAAATTTATTTCTAAAAGAACAATCTCTCTCTCTCTCTCTCTCTCTCTCTCTATTCTGTCATGCTTCCTCTCAATATTCTGTGTACATGCTTGACGAAGAGAGTTTTAATTCGACTATATAAAATTGTTATCTGGAGTAATCATAAAGAGAATCCTTCTGTCGAAGGAGGGACTCGTTTCTTTAAATATGGTATTTCGACGCCAATTGAACGATGTCTCCGCAATTTACTTGATTGGCTCACCTCGAGTGGAGTAGCCAGGACCAGCTGAATGACCACGTTGAGTGCGAGGTGAAGTGCGTTCGAGTGCAGCAGCATGTAGGAGGCAAACCTCCAGCCCTGTACTCTCTGACGGGGATCGTAGACCAACCATCTCCGTAACATCGCTTCGTCTCCCAGGCAGTGGACGGTTATCTGTTACGAGAGAAAGCACGTTTAATGTGCTTGCCTTTGCCGCGGAATATTATTCAAAGAAGAACACGACATATACATCCAAGAACATGGAAATAATTGTACGTCGCTGTTAGAAATAAAGTAAATTACAGTTAACAAACTTTATTAAATATACAAACTAATTTAAACTATATTTTATACTATTTTACTATTATACATTGCTATATATTGCTAATCAAAAGTTTCACCTTATATTTATGCTAACAATTCTATTTTTTATATATAAAATATGGAAATATACAATAATATATTGTATTCTATTTTCGATCACGAAAGTATTTAATAAAGTCGTAGATTGCTGAAAAATAATTATAAACAAAAATTATAAATAAGTTTCTCAAATAGACAAATATATGGATTAGATATGATTTATGATTTTTAAAAATATCAATTTTTAATTTTTTACGCTAGACAACAATAAACATTTGACGACTAACAATTAGAAAATGATATGTAAACAATATTTTCGCAGAAATTAGATATTAGATTAAATATAAGTCTTGAATAAGGCATTTAAAAAAATTATCGACAAAATGCCAAGAATTTGGACTTTCATTATCGAGGAGATTAAGTTTTAAGAAATAATTTAAAAATATAAATTATTGTTTCTATTTTGGCAAAAAAAATGAGTTAAGAAACATA